AAAGAAACCAAAAAAAAATAAAAATGTTTTTAAAAAAAAAAAGAAAAAAAAAAAAAAAAAAACCCCCCCCAAAAAATTTTTTTTTTCCTTAAAAAAAAAAAAAACCAAAGACCAAGCAACTTTGGGTTTTTTTTTTTTTTTTCGCCTCGGGAAATCGGAACCGTTTTCCCCGGACCTTGGGGGGCGCGTGGTGAAACAACACAAATGGTAAACCAACTACAACCACAAGGAAAATAAAATCTAGGCTGCTTTTCATTTGGTTTAATAATTCCGATGTTAAATAGTGGGTTTGAAGAGAGTAAAAAAAATAGTAAAATAATGAAAAAAAAAGGATGGTGAGAATAAAAAGGATAAAGAAAGAAATAGTGTATCCACACTTTCAAAGATTCATGTGTGTAAACAAACACGTATATACAAATGTATATGAACAATGTGTGCTCCTATATATGTGTTTGTGTTTGTATGTGTGTGTTCGCATATGTATGTATATATACATAGTTTGAATATATATTCATGTATATATTATATATATATATATATATATATATATAATATATATATATATATATATATATATTATATATATAATATATAATATATATACATACACACACACACAACACACACACACACACACACACACACACACACACACACACACACACACACACACACACACACACACAATAGCATACACATCACACACACACACACGCCATTCTCTCTCTTGCTTTTTATTTTCTCTCGGTAGCCTCCCCCGCTCTCTTTCTCTCCGTCTTTCACTCTCGCTCTCTGTCTCCCTGTGTCCTCTCTCTCTGGTTTTTATTTCCTTGTTATTCTCTCTCTCCATGCGGTCTCTCCCTTTGTCTATCTCTTATAAACCAGTAATTCCATCAGAACCTATAAAAAGGAACATCCCTCATCTGTATTGTCTCCAGAGTGTAGTGGTTCTCACGTGCGCTTCACACGCGCAAGGTCATCGGTTCGATCCCGAGGCAAGATAATTAAATTATATTTTTATTTGTAAAAATGGAAACATTAATTACTATTTACCGGTTTTAAGTATTCATACGTGGTATCTAACAATGATTTTCCCTTGGCATGCTTTTGTTAATTGCTATAAATCGATTAATAATATGATGCGCCAAAATGTGGCTTCTTTTCCTCGCAGTAAATGATAGCTGATCAGCTGTTTCACTAACCGTTGCTGGCTTTTTTTTTTTTTTTTTTTTTTTTTTTTTTGTAACATGTTGGCGAACAGGGTATTTTTGTGATATCTTTAAATCCTGTTTAATGAATAGCAAATACGTAATTACCAATACAACGAATTACCATATTCTGAATCATCTCAATCTATGAGCGGGAAAATCGTGTCATTCTCCAGAAAAGCTTTCGCTCGAAATGACACGAAGGCAAAGGCGATGGTGCCGAGACGATGGCACTTCAACCGCTTCGGACGAAAGGCTTGTCAGTGCCTCATTTATTCAGGCGCCTATACAACTTCTGGAGATTAAATGGGATAGAATAAAGGACAAAAATCGCAATCATATCGAAAACAAAGCTGTTCTTTATCGTAGATTTTCGAATCATCCAAAATTAGAGAGAAAAATGCTCAGAGCTCAAAACGGATTATTCCGAAAAGGTTTGCCAAAATGCAGCTTCTGTCATCCCTGCAACCAAGTTCAATGTCATCGCATTATTGTCACGTGATAAGTAAGAAACCCAACAACATTAGTGATAATGAAAATGATAATTAGTCGTAGTGAAAATAACAGTAAGGGCAATATAATAGCAATAATGATAATAAAGATAATAATCATATTTTTCATAAGAAAACATAATAATGATAATAATAAAATGGAAATGATAAAGATGATAACAGTATTGATAATGTTAATGATAACAATAATAATAATAATGATAATGATGACTGTGATGATGATAATGAAAAGTGTGATAATAATAAAATGATGATGATAATGATACTAATAATACTATTATCGATAATGATAAAAGAAAAAAGATAATAATGATGACAGCAATCATAGTAATGATGATAATGATAACGATGATGATAATGATAACAACAATAATAATTACGACAATAGTAGTAATAGTGATAATGATAATGATAACAATTACAATGATACTAATAAGAATTGATAATTTTCATAATGATGAAAAGAAAAAATTCTATGCATAACAATGAAAATGAACAATAATGATGGTAATGACAATGATAATGGTAATGATGGTGTTAATTATTATAATGATGATGATGATGTGATGATAATAATGGGAAAAATATCGCATCATAAAAATATTAAAGCGAAAATAAAGAGAAAAAAACTGCACGTACGTAAACATACACAACACATCTATGTATAAACATTTCATTTTCCATTCCGAGACACAAAACTCTAAGGTAAGACCCTCCGTGTTTCACGCATACATTTCCATCTGTCATGTGTATGTGTATGTTTACATGTCTGTAAAAGCTCTCACACATGCAAAGAGAGATCTAAAATCAAAAGTGATTGCAACGGCGCTTTTTTATAAGCCCGGAGCTTTTCATTTCTTTCAGGCCCGGGCAAGGTTGCAATCAGAGGGAGCATTTTTTGCTCCCTCTTGGGGATTCGAACCCGCGACCGCGGATTCGGATATGCGGCCGCGCGTTCGAATCCGGCGCCTTTGCCCGCTCGTCCACCGTGGCCGAGGGGCGCTGGAAAGCGGTTGGAGGCGGTATTTCGGGAACTTCCGTGTGAGTACATGCAGGTGTGTGATGCGTAATATTGAAAGAGAGAGAGAGAGTGTAAAGGAATCAAGGATTCCTTGTCTGATATTATATATATAGAATTTAGATCAAGAATTTATTTGATTTAATGTATTAACATGAGAATGATTATTTAATTTCATTTAGTTTGTAACGTTGGCTACAGTGACGTTAGAGTTGTACGAACGCCCTACAAAAACGCATTGTTGTGAATCCGCGGAGCCCCTCTAGAGAGCCACGTGAGACGTCTTGTGCTGCGTACTTTTAAATTATTCTTGTTTTATGAAGATTTGGGCTAGCCACACTCTTTTCACCTCACAATCACGTGCACGTTCACGCGTACGTGTATGTTGTCATCTTGCAAGTTGGATACACTGCTCATACCTACCAGCTTGTGAACATGACAATAAAGGTTTAACTGACTGCTAGTGTTTTACTGGAGGCAGTACAGTGAAAAGAGTTGCTTTCTTCTAAGAGTGAAAAGAGTTGCTAGCCCTTCTTCTAAGGCTACAGTGAAAAGAGTTGCTAGCCCTTCTTCTAAGGCTACAGTGCAAAGCTAGCCATCTTCCAAGCCTATTGTGAAAATAGTTGCCAGCCATCTTCTATGCCCAGAGTGAGAAGAGTGAGATATCTAACAAGCTGAGTGAAAAGAGTCAGCCTTCTGTTGAGTGAAGAGTTATACAACTATCAACAAAGGAAAGTCTCTCTCAGCATCTTGCCGAATAACTTCAGGAGAATTGTCAGCATGTCGACTACAAGCAACGCAGACGTTCACATTAAAATGGAAGCGGAGGAGATCACAGCAGGAACCCCACCCACAGTTAGACCCAGATGAAACAAGACCGTCTGGAGCAAGAATAAGGACCCTTACAGAAAAAAGGAGAACTGTACATTTCCACAACCACCAAATATTTGGATCAGCTCTCTCAAGTGCAGTGTACAGTTGAAGACCTAATGTTAAGGTATTACAAAGGCGGTGCAGCCGCAGAAAGTGATAGTGAATATAAGAAAGCTCTTGAAAAGAACTTAGATTCTTATTCAAGGTGTGTAAATCAGTTTTTAGAGTATTTGAGTAGAACAAATACGGAAGAAAGCAGGAAAGATTATATGAAGTACAAAGCAAAAAGTGATGTGATCATACGTGATATAAAGAAAGAGTTAGAATATCTTGATAAAAGATATGCAGTTGAAGAAGTTAAGTCTGAGTGCTCGGAGAAAATTAAGTGCTAAATCAGTTGCAGAAAGTGTCTCAGCTATGTTGTTAAGTAAAAGAATACAAGCTGAAGCCACAAAGTTAAGCTTGAAAGTGCATTGAAAGAGGCAGAAATAAAGAAAAGAAAAGCAAAGTTACAGTGTGAGGAGGCAGAAATTGAAGCAGAATTAGAATTATGTGTGTCTCGTCGCAATGCTCAGTTGGCTGAAGTTGAGTACAGAGTAGTGTGTGAAGAAAGTAGTGATAAGTTGTCATCTATTTCAGGTAGAATACCTGGTGTACAGTTACAACAGAAAGTTCTTTCACAAGAACTCCTGCAGCAAGAGGCAGCAGATTCTTTAAGTCGTGTCAAGCAGTACGTGGAAGATCAGAACAGGTACCAGAATTTGATCTCAACCCTTCTTTGGAACAAGCTATGCCTGTCATACAACCTCTTCGTAGTCAGCCCAGTGATGCCAAGGCTAATCCTGTGAGTAACAGTTGTTGTGGAGAATTGTCGCGTTTCCTTTTGAAGAAGGAACTTTCCCTGGCACGTTTCAGTCCATTTGATGATCGTCCTGAGTCTTATGTGCCTTGGAAAACTACTTTTCAGCAGACCATTCAAGATCTGCATGTTACGTCTTTGGAAGAAGTTGACCTTTTACTCCGGTGGCTGGGCCCTGAGTCGTCCAAATTTGCGCAGAGTATAAGGACTTCCAATATACATGATCCAAGTAAGTGCATCAAGTTGATATGGAAGAGGCTTGAAGATAGATATGGCAGTCCTGAGATTATTGAAGCATCTATCAAGAAGAAACTAGAAAAGTTTCCTAAGGTTACGTTCAGAGATCCCAAGAAACTGTATGATCTGCATGATCTTCTTTGCGAAGTACAGTCGCTTAAAGAAAATCCACTTTACGAGAAACTGTTTGGACACTTTGACACATCTGCAGGAATAAACCCTGTGATAAGCAAGTTACCTCCTTCAGTACAAGGAAAATGGCGAGACAAAGCATCCAACTACAAGAAAACACAAGGTGTGTTATTCCCACCCTTTTCTTATTTTGTAGACTTCATTTCTGACGTTGCACAAATCCATAATGATCCAGGATTTAATTTTGAGCCAGAAGTAAGATCTCATACAGACAAGACTTCAAAGCTAGATAAATTTAAAGTAACTACAAAGAAGACTGTAGTGCCTGATGAAGAAGCCCTTAAATGTATAATACATGGGACCAACCATTCTCTACATGAATGTAAAAGCTTTAAGTCAAAGTCTTTAGAAGAACGCAAGAAACTTCTGAAAGAAAATAGAATATGTTTTAAGTGTTGCATCTCGAAGAACCACTTAAGTAGAGATTGTCCAGAGGACATAACCTGTAAAGACTGTGGAAGTAAATACCATTGCACTGCTATGCATTTGAAGAAATTTCAGTCTGTTCCTGAGACAAGTACTAAGGCTCATGGCAGGGAGAAGCCGGAGCAGAGTGTTGTTAAAGAGTCAGTACGTGAACAAGCTTTAGATGTGACCAACAAGAGTACTGGTGTATGTGAGGAATTTCCTGGAAAGTCTTGTGCTAAAATTTTGCCAGTTTACGTTTTTCATGAGAGTAACCCGAGGAAGCGTATGAAGTCATATGTTATATTAGATGATCAGAGTAACAAATCTTTAGCTAAAGGAGAGCTTTTAGATTTCTTTGATGTTCGCTCTGTGGCAGAGGAATACATCATAACTAGTTGCTCTGGCCGTTCAGTTATGACAGGAAGGAAAGCTGGTGGACTATGCATACAAGCTGTTGATGGTAGTCTACAGATGAGCCTTCCTACAGTCATCGAATGTGATGAACTTCCTAATAATAGGACTGAGATTCCAACTCCCAACATTGCTCGACTTCATCCACACCTCAAAGACATTGGTTCAGAAATTTCACCTCTTGATGATCAGGCTCAGATTCAATTATTGATTGGTAGAGATCTACCCGAAGCTCACCATGTACTAGATCAAGTAACAGGTCCACCAGGTACACCCTTTGCCCAGAAGATGAAGTTAGGCTGGGTAATTGTAGGTGAAGTCTGCCTGGGGAAGCATCACGCAACAAAGAATGTGAATGTAAGGAAAATATATGTAAATCCTGATGGTCGTCCATCAGTCTTGAAGCCTTGTCCAAGTTGTATATGTGTACAAGAAGACACAGGATATCACAGCGGTTTTACACCATGGAAGGAAAATGATATTGGTTCTACAGTGTTTCACCGAACCTGGAAAATCCACAGAAGACAAAATGTTCTTGAAGTTAATGGAGAAAGAATTTGTCAAAGAACCAGCAGGTAACTGGAGTGCACCTTTACCTTTTAAGCCCTTAAAGAAAAGATTACCGAACAATAAATCCATGGCTGTGAGACGTGCCAATAGCCTAGCCAAGAGTCTTCAGTTCAATTCTGTTAAAAGAGAACATTTCCTAGACTTTATGAAAAAGCTTTTTGAAAGAGGTCATGCTGAAATAGCACCACCTTTGAAAGAAAATGAAGAATGTTGGTATCTTCCAGTGTTTGGAGTGTATCATCCAAAGAAACCTAGTCGTATCAGGTGTGTTTTTGACTCTGCTGCTAAGTTTAGAGGTACATCATTGAATGATGTGTTGATGACAGGTCCAGACCTAAATAATTCTCTGTTGGGTGTACTTCTACGTTTTCGAAAGAACAGAGTGGCTGTATTAGCAGATATTGAGATGATGTTTTATTCATTTGAAGTACATAAAGAACACAGAAACTATCTTCGTTTTTTGTGGCACAAAGACAATGATTTAAGTAAAGAACTTATTGAATATCGTATGACCAGACATGTTTTTGGAAATAGTCCATCACCCGCAGTAGCAATATATGGACTACAGAAGACTGCTGAAGCTGCAGGAAGTACATATGGTGAAGACGTCACAAAATTTGTCCAGCGACATTTTTATGTTGATGATGGTCTGATATCTCTATCAAAGTACTGAAGAAGCTATTAACCTACTGACAAGAACTCAGAAGGGTCTAGCAGATTATGGAAATTTGAGACTTCACAAATTTGTTTCAAACAGCCAAGAAGTCATGTCAGCCTTGCCAGGTGACGACATCTCTCAAGATTTGAAGGACATGGACTTTGATGCTGAACATCTTCCGTTGCAGAGAAGTTTAGGATTATATTGGGATCTTCAAGCAGATATCTTTACTTATAGGATTGCAGAAGAAAACCCTTCACTCGTAGAGGTGTGCTGTCAACAGTCAACAGCATTTATGATCCTCTAGGATTTGCAGCCCCGCTTACAGTTCTAGGCAAGTTGCTTCTGCGAAAGTTCTTATCTGGGACTATTGATTGGGATGAACCTCTACCAGAAAACTGGATGAGGGAATGGAAAGGAAAGACCGTATTAAGACCTTACAATGTTTGAAAATACCAAGAATGTATGTTCCAGTATCCTTGTCAACAGAAGTCAAAAAAGAATTGCATGTCTTTTCAGATGCTTCCAAAGAGTCAATTGCTGCTGTCTCATATTTGAAAACTGTACACGAAGATGGCAGTTCAGAAATTGGATTTGTGATGGGGAAAGCTAAAATTGCACCCTTGCATGGGCATACTATACCTCGTCTAGAATTGTGTGCTGCAGTACTTGCAGTAGAACTTAGTGAAGTGGTACTTGAGAACCTTGATGAAGAAATTGATATAGTGAAATTTTACACTGACAGTAAAGTAGTTCTTGGCTACATCCACAACCAAACAAGACGATTTTATGTGTATGTTGAGAATAGAGTGAACCGTATTCACAGGTCAACTAAGCCAGAACAATGGAATTATGTTCTACATCTGTGAATCCAGCTGATCGAGCAACTCGCTCTATGGTGAATGATTTCTCGTGTGACGACATATGGCTGAAAGGACCTGAAACATTCTTGAGTAGGCGTCATGATCTTGCTCAAGAAACTCCACAGCTAGTTCAACCAGAAGATGATAAGGAAGTAAGGCCAGATGCTCTGGTAAAGGCAGCTAAAACCTGTGTGATTGACAATTTATCAATTGGGTGTCACAGATTTGAAAGGTTCTCTGAGTGGTATCGCCTAGTAAATACTGTTGCTTTATTGCAGAGATGTGCATGTGCCAAATCATTTAAAGGTAGAGCTGATAGAAGTGTAGAGTCTTTCAGAAAAGCTGAAATATTTGTGATCAAAGCAGTTCAAAAGGAAACTTACAAAGAAGAAATTAGACTTCTTGAAGCAAAAATGCATCTTCCAAAATCTAGCTCGATTATGGCTCTCAACCCGTACTTAGATGAAGATGGTGTGTTAAGGGTTGGCGGAAGATTGCAACAATCAAGTCTTGGAAGTTACCAGAAACATCCAATCATTTTGCCTGGTAAAAGTCATATTTCTACACTTATAGTACGTCACTATCACCAAAGTGTTCGACACCAAGGACGTCATCTTACAGAAGGAGCTGTTAGATCTGGTGGATATTGGATTACAGGCGTGAAACGGTTGATCTCATCAATCTTACACTCCTGTGTCCAGTGTAGAAAGTTACGAGGTAAAGAAGTCCAGTTGATGAGTGATCTACCAGCAGATCGCTTAGAACATACTCCACCCTTTACCAATGTTGGAGTTGATGCTTTTGGACCTTGGACTATAACGACACGCAGAACTCGTGGTGGATCAGCAAATTCTAAACGGTGGGCTATTTTGTTCACTTGTCTTACAACAAGAGCAATACACATTGAGTTGGTAGAAGAAATGTCCTCTTCAGCTTTTATTAATGCACTTAAAAGATTTGAAGCTCTCAGAGGTAAAGTTAAACTGTATAGATCTGACCGAGGAACCAACTTTGTTGGTGCAACTGATAGCCTCAAGATAGATGCAGTAAATGTGGAAGAAAAGAAGATAGTAGACCATCTGTACCAAACAGGCACTAAATGGATCTTCAACGCTCCCCATTCATCGCACATGGGAGGTGTATGGGAACGCCTCATTCGAATCTGCCGGAAGATCTTAGAGTCAATGCTAGCTGAAACTCCTTATAAAACTTTGACGCATGAAGTGTTATCAACCTTCATGGCAGAAGTATGTGCCATAGTGAACAATCGACCAATAGTAAACGTATCAACTGATCCAGAAAACCCTTTCATCTTGTCACCTGCCACCATTCTTACTCAGAAAGTTGGAATAGACCATGTAGAAGATTCAGTAGGAGAAATTGATACAAAAGACCTTTTGAAAACAGAATGGAAACGTGTTTCTGCCCTCTCAGAAATATTTTGGAATCGTTGGAAAAAGAATATCTGCACACACTCCAAGAACGTAGAAAATGGTGTTGTGCAAAACCTAATCTCACTGAAGGTGATGTTGTGTTATTGAAAGACAGAAGTGTTTGTCGTACACAATGGCCATATGGAATTGTTGTAAGAGCTATCCAAAGTGAAGATGGCAAAGTAAGGAAAGTGGAGTTAAAGGTTATGAGAGATGGAAAGCCAGTTGTGTACACAAGACCAATTTCAGAGTTAATTCTTTTGGTTTCTGGTGCTAAGTAGCTATTTTTTATTTGAACAAGTCACATTTCAGTTCCTATTTGTCATTTAATCAGTATTAGAGTAGTGATATCAAATTTGTTGATATCAGGCAGGGAGTGTAAAGGAATCAAGGATTCCTTGTCTGATATTATATATATAGAATTTAGATCAAGAATTTATTTGATTTAATGTATTAACATGAGAATGATTATTTAATTTCATTTAGTTTGTAATGTTGGCTACAGTGACGTTAGAGTTGTACGAACGCCCTACAAAAACGCATTGTTGTGAATCCGCGGAGCCCCTCTAGAGAGCCACGTGAGACGCCTTGTGCTGCATACTTTTTAATTATTCTTGTTTTATGAAGATTTGGGCTAGCCACACTCTTTTCACCTCACATCACGTGCACGCTCACGCGTACGTGTATGTTGTCATCTTGCAAGTTGGATACACTGCTCATACCTACCAGCTTGTGAACATGACAATAAAGGTTTAACTGACTGCTAGTGTTTTACTGGAGGCAGTACAGAGAGAGAGAGTTTGTGTGTGTCTGTGTACGTATTTGTAAGCACGTGCGAATGCATGTATGAACCAGGTACACATTAACATAAAAAGTAACGCTAAACCCTGAGCACTAAATGAGGCAGCAAGACACACCGATGGTAGAGAAGGGAGCCGCATAACTAAATCGGGTTCGGTTGCCATCACATAAGGTTCTCACAGAACAAATGAATTCATTCATAAATAAAAATCCTAGAAAAGGCGGCCAAAACACAACATTCTTTAATGACAACAGCATTGTTCTTGTATCCATCGCTTGTAATGAGATGCAGTGCAAAGCAATTCGATTTTGAAGATAACTGTTATCATTAGCACTTCCGTTATCATTGCATTTCCGTGAAAAAAAAACTCAATCGAACAATTTCTTTTACCTCACTTTTATTTTATTTTCACCTTCATAAAGTCATACTGAAAGGCTCTAAGTGATGAAAAAAGGACCAAGCGATCATTGAATCTGAATCGCCATGAATTGAACTGATTCGATTCGCTTGGTGTGAACGGTTACATGAAATAAGATGAATGGAAGGATAACATTTAGTGAACATATTAAATAATTTACTCCTTATTGTCTGCACTACATAACACAAAAATAATTGCCTATTATTTTTTCTTATTATTATTCATTAATCTATCATATCCTTAACGTTATGTGGCCAAGGTCGGAATTACCAGCTTTTATTCTAAATTCAACCTTTTTCTTGTGCGTATTTTGTTTCTAATTATCATATGGATTAGCGTGTTTACATAAATACACAATTGTCAGTTTAGATAGACATACAAGCCTCTAATATATAGCCTAAAATCTAGTTGATTATCCAAATATAATTTTTTACCGTTTTTTTTTTTTTCGTGTCTTTAGTTTGATGCAACTGAGATCGAAATATAAGGCAGGAATTATACAAGATGTTTCGCATATATCCTCGTTTTTTTTCATTGATTTACGAATGTCTACATTAATCTAGTATGAGACGAGAGCACAACGGGGACAGTGAAACTGTTCCGAGTGCAGCAAAACCAGTTAGCCATTCGTGGTACATGATGGACTGTTCCAGCGACTGCCACAGACGATATTCTTGTTCTTGTTCTCATGGAAGGTGGAAAAAGAAGTGAGGCAGAGTGCACTGCAGTTAAGGTGTGGTTCTCTGTGCAGATGAAAGAATAAATTACACGGTGTTATCACAGTGATATCGGCAAGGCGTGTTACTGGCCAGGCATCGTTCCATTTGGATGTTGAGAAAACGGCAATCTCAAGATTTTAGGAAGAGAAAGGAAGTATTACTTAATTCTAAGCTATGCCGTGAGGGGGGGCGGGAACCTCCTGCTGGTCTGTTCTTCTGAAGGGAGAGGGAGGGTGAGAGAGAAGGGTGAGGGCAAAATATAAAAGAGAGCGAATGAACAGGAGAAAGAACGATTTGGAATTTTGCGTAAGACCAAGGGAAGTGTGCACCTTTGGCGACATCATCATGACTTCCCGCGCGTTAATGCTGCTCTCGAGATGAACCTGGATCTGCTGAAGCAATTTCTCTAAAGAGAAAGGGTTAATGGCATCAAAATTTAGATTAGGTACACTTCTGGTAAAAGTGATTCATAGCTCTTTGAGTTATTCTGCTCTCCAACCAACCAACAAAGTAATCAACGCACCCAAGAACATAACCTCCTTGACGGATGTAAAAAAGGAACACAGAAAAGAGAAAAATTCACACAATAATTTCCTTATTTATGGCTGAGAACTTCGGGCATTACGAAACTGGGGAATATGGCAAGTTCTCGATTCTCTCGCCAGCGACCAATTGAGTAGTCGGAGGGAGGGGGAGGGGGGAGGGTCACCTGCCTCCTCCGTTAAGATTTGTTAAATTGTTGATTTAATACTCTATTTAGCAATTCATTGGTGTCTTTTATGAGCTTTAAAACTCAAACGATGCTGACCCATTTACGAAGTTGGTAGAAAGGGAACGACGAGAGGAACCAGACGGAAATATAGAAGGGAGGAATGGCGATTTTACAATAGGAACTCCATTTCCACTGAATGTTTGTCGATTATTGCATATGATTTCTTTCGATTGATAGTCGTCTGGTGAACTGTTTATTTTGGGTAATAATGCTTTGCAACTTCATTTTGTGTGAATGGCGGGCTGCAGACCTCGAATTTCCCGACTTTAGACTTTTCAATTCTTTCTCCCAATTGTTCCTTATATATTTCGAAGAGGAAAAGAAACGTGGCAGCAGAAGGAGTATTTGGAGGCGCAGTTCGCTATTTCCAAATAGCTCTGAAGGATTTAGCGCATTTAATTTGACGATAAAATTAGCAAAGGAAGAAATGTTCCAATAAGAATCAATGGTGGAGAGATTATGCCCCCCCCCGTATCTAACAAGTCATGGGATCTGATACCATTCCTGATCACAAGTTCAATTCTATCCCACGTGGTGAAGGCAGGTG